AGTTGGCCTCTCCTTTTGAAAATGAAGGGACCTTGCTTCGAAACCCAGCAGCCTGTAGGGATGATGAGCAGCAAACCCAAGATTTCAGGCAGCTGATAGCACTGAAGGCAACTGGGAGAGTCCTGGCCTACCTGGCAGCCCTTCCTCCCCTTGCTCAGGCTCCTGGTCCCAGCCCACAGTGGTTATCAGGGAAAGTAAACAGCGGGAGCCAACTACAGCCAAGTCTGGAGACAGCTCAACTTTGCAAACAGACGCATTCAGCCTGGGTGAACGCCAGGAAGGGCAGCCACACACGACAGATAATCTCTCTGACGCAGTATGGAGCCTGCTGAGGGCAGGGGAAGCCTCACATCTGCATAGGCCACAGCTGCAACAGCCTGGGACAGTGGCTCAGTCGTGGGCTCAGTCCCATCAGCACCAGGGGGTCTTAGTGAAAAGGTTAATCTTGTCAGCCTTTAAAAGCAACAGTTGAAACAGAAGGGTGCAGCAAAGCTCCTCACTGCTCCCCTACAATGCATGTTATTTTATGCATTGTAGGGGAGCAGTGCTACGATCCCTGCCGTGCTGTTATTTCAATTTCCCTTCAACATCTACAAAGGCAAAGGAACACCCCAGCTCAGTAAACAGCCTGCTCCTGAGTGCCTTTTCCATATCAGACAGTTGATTTTCCAAGCCCTATAAATATTTTATTTGTGCCACGTCCCCTGAAACCTCAAAGTCAGGCTCCCATCCAAGAAGCTACAGAGCTGCTCTCTGGTCTAAATCTGTAATGCAGAAACACAACTTATTCCATGAGATCCCAAGTGGGAAAACTGGCTGGGGAACATAAGAATAATTTCTGTCAATTAGATTATCTCAAATGGAATATTAAATATATTTAATGGAACCTTGCTTAATTGCTACTCATGGGTACTTTGTAGATGCTGGAAACTCTGATCTAAATGATTATGTTAATGAAAGATTGCCAAAAGACTCATATTTTAAACTCCTCCATAGGATAACAGTAGGACTACTTTTCCTGGGCTTTTGTGCTGCCCAGCCACTATTTCCCAGTTACAGTGCTCAGGGTAATACCAACTAGCACATCTACAGAACTGTCCAAGGCTAAATGATGGGGGTGTTCACCACAAATCCAAATGCAGAACCTCCTCAAAAACTCAGACTGTTTTGCAGCTTGTGACCTATACAACTGGTGCAGAAGCCCACAGTAGCCTTACAGTAACTGTTGGTATTTGTGGTAGGACCTTGAGGACACTAATGGTTGTAACTGCCCTGAGCCTCACCTGAACCCACATCCACACCTGCTGCCCATCAGCTGGGGCTCCATTTAAGCTCAGCCTTGAGGAATGCTTATTTTCCCTGAGCTTTGGTGTAGGTACAATGTCATGTCCAGCTTTTTCTCTCCGGACTGGATCAAGGACCTATGTTGCTGGTAGGTCTGTCGCTGCCAGGCCTCTGGGGTGGACTCTGGTATGATGTAGTAATTTTGTTGCCAGTCGCATCCCTATTTGCTGCTGCTTCCTGACGCTTTGTTCCTGGCAGTAGGGACACCAGGTATTGCTCTTTGTGTAGGATGAGGGCAAGCCATTGCTTACGTTTTGCCACCTGAATAGAGATGAATGTGGGTTGTTGTCCCATGATCTGACCAGTTTTTCCCTCTTGAATCCCAGTAAGTTAAATTGGAAAGGAAAAAAAAAAATCTATGAAGATCCTAAAACTGCTTCTAAAGGTCATCTTTCTGCTCCATGCAGGTTGCGAAATTACAAAGTCTCATCCAAGAAAACCCTCTACACATATATACGTGTGCCTATAAGGCCCTTTAAACCGTCATTAGTGTCCCCTTCTCCAGATGGAGATTTGGAATTTCAAGTGGAAATGCAGAATTTATTTATAGCCTTAGTACATTTTTCAGCCACAATACATAAATACATGGAGCAAAAGCATTGCCTTGCTGTTTGTTTACTGAGCAGCATTGCTTTCCCATTCGACTGGAGTGGTGAGTCAGCATCGCTGCTAAGCTCACCCTGTTCTCAGAGGTTCTCTCCAGCCTTTGGGCCAGGGCAGTTGCTGAGAGTCAGCTGCTTTGGGATTGTATTTTAGGAGATTACTTTGTGTTGCCTTCTTGATAGCATGGAGGACTCTCCTTCAGATGGCCCTACACTGCAGTGTCAGCACAAGCCCTTAAAAATGGAAGCTGTTGCTGGACCTGTGACCTAGTTTCCTGAAATCATGAGTTTGGCTTAGAAAATAATATATTTTTTTTTTTAATGGTTCCATAGTCTTTGCATTAAGTTCTTGTTTGGGGAATTACTAGGGATGCTCCAGTTGTGATTTCAAAGTTTTCTTAGTTATAAAGCTGAGATGTATATGTATTGTGGTATGAAAGCAGGGGGATAACCTGCCTCTAGCAGTGAAGAAAAGCATCCAGTATTAAGACTGTGGTTTAAAAACAGTGATACATGGTTAGTTTAAAGTTCAGGATTTGTTGGTGTTTCTCAGCAATTCTAGATCCTTGGACTGTAAGTGCTAACATTAGTCATGTTAGCAGTGCATGAACTGGTGTTGACCTTCTCAGGATCAGCCTGGTCTTGCTGTGCAGCTGAGCTGTACAAGCGCAGTTGGGGTGCTTTCCTAGCCACTGCTCTCCAGAGATGTCCACTTCTCACTGTTCTCAGCTTTTTACAGCTGGTCTTTTCTCTAAAAATGCTAATCTTTTTACAGACTTGTTCAGGACCTGTGCTCCTTCACAGCTATGGTTCCTGGAATGCAGTCTCCTGTCAGGATCCCTTCTTAATTTCCTTGTGTGGCTGTCAGTAGCAGTATGGAGCAGTTTTATAACCTGATGGAAGCTGAAAAAAACAAAGGACCATGCTCTGGCCAGCTGCTCTGCAGCACCCCCACCTTTGCCTGTGGGACTCTGGCTCTGCTGCCTTCTCTTTGCCATTCCCAGATCAGTTTTGTCCCACCACAGCAGCAAGCTTTCCTGTGTGCAGCCTGGTGGGACTGGGGTGGGAGGGTGAACTGTTTGGCCAGGCTGTGGAGGAATGAGCAGTTTATTTGTTGCCATTGGATACTGATACCAGAGTACCAATTTTAACTGCAGCTGTAAGGCTGCCCAGAGTATGGAACCAGAATCCCTTAAAGCAATCGGTGGTTTTGTACTTCTCCAGGAAATGTTAATAGCAATCTGTTGGGTTTCAGCACTCCTAATGTGTAGTGCCCTTTTTTTTCTGGTGAAGTTTAACCCTAGGAATTGGGAAAACAGCTCTCATAGAATCATAGAATAGTTAGGGTTGGAAAGGACCTTCAGATCATCGAGTTCCAACCCCCCTGCCATGGGCAGGGGCACCTCGCTCTAAACCATATCACCCAAGACCTCGTCCAACCTGGCCTCTCATCAAAAACTGAGAAAGCAACAACTGGAAGGAATGTTGTGTGCGCAGATCTGCTGTGTTTTACTAAAAATATAATTTTTTAATTACTTTTGTTGTTGACCCATATAAATTTACTGCAAAGCTTAGCCTTGAAACTAGGGCTCTCGTGCTATAGACACACCATGCCAGGGACTCAGCACGGCTTGGTTTGCTACCCTGGTGTTTGCTCTGTGGAAGCTATGGAGCTGCCTGCACAGCCTGCCTAAAGACCCATGTTCATGAATCAGATCTTAAAAATATACAATAACAGCCTTCAGGCAGTGATGCCCTGCCTAACGGCCCCACCTAATTTCCCCTCTGAACTACATACTGTGCTATAAGTAGTTCGGGCACCTGCTGAAACTAGAAATGCTTCTTTCCCTGAAACCAGACACCAGCAGTGGTTAATTACCACATCCCAAATTGGCACAGACTAATGCAGCTTCAGTGAAGCCCATGAAGTTTCATGGGATTATTCCTGTCCTGGCTCTGAGTCATTAATAGGTATAGTTCTGGCTAATTTTATGCTTTTCAAATTGTTTCATTAGATTAGAGAAGCAATTATCAGCCCAAATCCATTTTTCCTGGTTAGGGAAATTAAAAAAGAGAAAACCCACCTTTCTCTGTTGCAGTAAATCATTGATCTGTTTCTTGTGCTTGTTTTATGTGGACTTAATTGATCAGCAAACTTAGCTATATGAGAGCTAGTTTTCACAGCCCCAGAAATGGGTTTGTAGCAGAGTGGGAGCTGTACCATATTTGTTTCTTTCCCTGTATAGAGACAGTATAATGGGTATACATATCTGTGTGTATGTATGTATGTATACATGTATAAATGAATGTAATAGTTGCTTTTGAACAATTTTGTATGTGTAACTGAAGTGCAAAATACTGTAGTTAGAATTTTCCTGATTCTTGCAGATGTGGCTATATGTTCAGTAAGCAATTAAAGCTGTGGCCTGAGGATTGGAGTCAAAATAGCTGGACCCAGGACCTAAACACACCTAGAACTTGGAAAAATCACAGAACTAACAACTTGAGAACTGTTTTTGAAGTACAGGTTTTGGATGTTGTCAGTAAAAAAACCTGACATGGAATAATGATAAGTAACTTTCACTCCTAAGCGAGTGCTTATTAAGGTGAGTGAAATGTTTTTATTGTAGCCTGTGTTGTGCCTCTGCTGACACTGCACGGGTTTTAAAGCCTTCTTCAGCTCTTTTTGAAGAAGAGGTCTTGAGCAGGAGCAACTGCACTACTGGTACCTGTGATGCTGAGCAACAATATAGTTGCCTTCTGGCTGATGAGTTGTCATGGGTATCCATATATGTGCTCTCAAGACTGGTTTCACAGGGACATGTTTAAGATTGAGAATGTGATATGTCTTCCCTGTTAAGATTTTGAGCACTGAGAATTTTTATTCTGTTAAAATACAAGCAAAACACCTGCTAGTAGATTAAGTAACTGCTTTAAAATAAGCCACATGAAGATCGCACCCAGGGCACACAGTTCCACTATTCTAGAGCTCAGTGCCAGACAGTATATATATTTTTTTTTGGTGTGCAAAACAAGCTAAACAACAGAAGAAACTTTGTATCAAAATAGTTTAATAAAAACAATAAGAGACTTCACTGAAGCTTGCTGTCGTCAAGACAGAATTATGACATTATTGCAGCATTCAACACAATCATAATTCACATATAATACTATACAGCTCCTGTTCACGTTGGCCACATTATGCTCTCACTATGGCCTTGTGCAGCCCTGCTGACACAACCCAGCCCTGCATACTTGAGTTGCAGAACCTGTTCCTCTGGGAACAGAGTTAAATCCCTTCCTCACTGCACAGTACTGTCTGGAAGTTGCACAGAAACCAAACACATCTCTTAGCAGCCAGAGGCAGTTTACAGAACCAGTGTGAACAAATCAAGTGGCTGGCAACAGCAATACTGGTTGATGTTTAGGAAAAACAAGTATGCAACCAATTACTCAAGTTCCCAGTGCTGCCCAGCAGCTTCTGTTCACAAGAAAGAAGCTCTGTTCTGACCTGCCGCATCGCCACCTCAGCCATGACAGAATGACTTTTATGTTATATAGCTTGGTCTAATGCATGCTTTCACTTCAGCACTTGCAGAGAAGCCCGTTGCCAGCAGCTGGCTGGCAGGCTTCTTCATCACCACTGAATGTCCTCCAACAGCATCACTCTTTGCCATCAGCTTTGCACCATAGTCAGTATTTGTCCTTGCATTGTGGCAAACAGACTGAGCACTTGGGGTCTCAGATTTTCAGGTCAGGATGCTGCCATGAGGTGTGGCTTGCTTTCTCACTAGCCGAGAGGCTTCCTTTTTCCTCTTCTCCATCACTCATGTTCCCTGGGCTGTTCTGGTGATGTGGGTCTTCTTGCACAGCTCCTGATAGAATTCAGATTCCAAAAACCGTGGGTATGAGTTATTTTCCATTAAGCTGTAAACTCTTTTCTGTGCTGCACTGAAGCAAGTGTGTGTGGCTTCTTGAATATTCTGGGCAATCATGTTCTTGGTTTGGAAGTCTATATTTATCTGAAATAAAAAGGACATTTACATCTGAGAACTGAATTCAAGGAAGTATAAAACACCATAAAATTTCTGAAGAGGTAAATACAAGATCCTATTACTACAGGATCAAATTAATCAAGCTTAAAGAAAATAATTCTTTTATACAAAACTGATATACTGATTCTGATATATTATCTTTCAGTGTGAAACTGAAGTATATTACAGGTATTACATGCAGCTGTTGACTTTTCCCAGTCAAGATGGAAACTCTATGAAATACTGCTTATGCTGTTTTCTAGCTTGGTGAAAAGGCACTTAGGGAAAGACTTATATCCAGACACAGATATTAATGGTGAGGTATGTGTGATGCAGTTTAGCTTCTGTATCTTAGAGTTCAGAGAAACAAAGCAAGGCTGTAAGAACTCACAAAACAGGGCACTTATATTAAAGTTTCCTTTACCTCTTTGGGAGCTTCCTTTTCAATGAAGTCATTGTAGATTTTTTTTGCTTTTGATGTCAGCTTCTGGGGTGACTTGGTTTTCTTGAAGTCCTCACAGGCCAACCAGAACTCAATATTCTCTTCACAGAACTCGGACTTCAGAAAAGCTCGGAAAGCAGCAAGACCATCTAGGGAAAGGAGAACAAAATCAAACCACATTGATTAACTATTTCAGGAATCTTGAATTTATCCACTGGTCACATCTGCTCCTACCAAAACTTTCTGCAGTAGTTCTGGCCTGATTCTTTCAGGGGTATCATAGCAATAAGAAATTCCACATTTAGGTATGCAAACAAGTTGGCACTCTAACAGCTTGGCAGGTTTCACTTCAGTCATTTAGGTAAATATAAAGAATGATATCCATTTCTACTTGTCTTTTTTTTTTTTTTTTTGTGATGCCTGCATATATATATATATATATATATAAGAAAACCCCCTATCCAGATGGGAACTCTAGTGCTAACCTTTACACTGGAGTAAAGGTTTATGACTGTGCTACAAACATCTGGAATATAATTTTTTTACGGAATGGAACGGATGACTCAAGTTCAAAGAGCAAATGCTAATTTATTTTAGTCTTTTTGCTTTGCTGTTGAGTGCTCTTCCTTGCAGAATTACAGTAACACCCCTAGATCACTGAACTTCTGTTGCAGAAACCTTCCCAAGTTATTTGAATGCATTTGACTTGGCTAAGCAGTGAGCCCAGTGAACAAATGCTCTTTTCATACTTGGCAAAGCCAAACTGACAGGTATGATTTTAATTGCAAAGCTTACAGAAAAGAAAGATCCACTACAGTGAAGTATTCTTGATGTTTTTAATATTAACTTACAGGGTGGTTGTGGTTTTCTTTATTTTTTTTTTATTTTTATGAGTACTGCTATAATTTTGGCTTAAACTGTCTATAGGATTTAACTTTCAAGATCAGAATCAAATCTGTTTCCATTAAAAAGGCATAATGAGGAAGCAAACTTTTACAGACATACAAACTGAACTACCCCTTTGCTCTTGAATGTTACTTTTTGAAGGCAAACTTACATTTGTTAGCAAGAAGTTCATCAAAGGCTTCTGACCACAGCTGGGCTTCTTCAGGGGAAGGTCTGCTTAAAGAGATGGAGAATATTAGACTTCATTGCTCAAACTTTGTTTCTGTAGAACACTCAGTATTTAAACAAAATCTCTTTCCAGCAACTTACCTGAAGTACGTGCGGTGTTTCCCCACTTTCTTGGACTTGGTTTTAGTAGAATTGGAAGAGTTCTGCAGGAAGTAGCTCAGTCTCGTTTTCCAATCTTTAATACTGGAAAAACCAAGAGAAAGATGACTGTTAAACACGACAACTCAAAAATCTTTAGGCACCCACCCCTTTACTGGCAAAGGCTGCAAAACTTTTCTTGATAGGACTTTGCCATCGGTAACTAGAGTCACCCAGAGCATCTGAGGGCAGGTGAACGACTTTCCCCTCACTTAAATCAACAGGTTGGCCCTCTAGCCAGTGACTGGTGTCCACCAAGGCACAGCTACAGGAGTCAGAGACCCACAAACTGCTCTGCTCTCACGCTTCCCACCCTCTTCGTTCTTAGTCCCGCGGCTGGAAGCGGCTCCCTGGAGGAGCCCGCGGGGCCCAGGACGGGAAGGGGGACCCACTCACATCGTTCTCTTCATCCTGCCCTTCTCCGCCTCCTCCGCCTCGCTGCTGCGGCGGCGGCCACCGCGCTCCATGCGCCCGCTGTCGTGCTGCAGCGCCAGAAACAGTGCACCCGGCATCGCCGCGTCTCGGCTGCACGCCGCCGCCGGCCGCCCTTATAGCCCTGCCGGGGGCAGGGAGGGAGGGGCCGCCCCGCCTCGCACGGCTCCCGCGGCCGCCCCGACTAGCAGGAGGGGAGGGAAAGGCGGTGCGGGCTGTGCTGCGCTGCGCGGTCGACCTCACGGGCAGGAGTGGGTGTTTGTCCCTGTGTTCCAGTATGGGAAAGATTTGCCTTTCCTCAGGGATTACGTCTCTTTTTTTCTCTTTATTTTGTTTTACAGTTTTCCCCTTTCCGTTCATTTTTAGGCTTTTTCTTTCTCTTCCCTTCTCTATTTTTTTCTTATTTTTCTTTCCTTTCCATTCTCCACTTGCCCTTGCTAGTGCCTTCTTGGAAATTTTTAGCCTGCCGCAATGACATCCCCCGGGAAGGGTGCCCATTCTTGCGGCGCTGGCAGTGAGGTGCCTGTCCTTTCTGTTCTGTCAATCAGAAATGTACCCTGCACTTCTGCTGGTTTTTATTTATATTTTAAAGGAAAACTCAGATTTTTTTAGTATGGCCAGTACATGAGACAGGATAAGGAAGGACTTAGCCACATATCTTAAAAAAAAATGAAGTACCCATAAATCTGAGTATGTGGTATTTTTAGTGTCCACGTCCCCACTAACCCCGGCTATTTTTCACTTTAATAAGCTGTCTGCACATGTGTTTTATCTCTGTATAGTGTTGCCACCTAGCAGTGAATTGTGTAAATTGCTCTCAGTACATGAAGCTGAACCTGCAATTACTCCAGCCTTCGGCTTGTTGAAAAGGCCATGTGGTCCTTCTCAGCAGCGTCCAGCTGAAGGGCATCGTATCCAAAGAATCTGGATTTAAGAATCATATGATTTTTTTCTTTAATCTGCCCTGCTTTTCTGCTCTTTTCTGTGCATGTGTCTGCCTCTCCACAGTACTCTGCAGCATGTATTTTCCTGACTTAAATAACAGTGTTCGGAGAGACTGATTCCTGAAGCACTGGCTGACTTCAGCACAATAATGAAGTATCAAATGTCCAGTCCTTTTAGGTAATGAACATAATATTGTAACCTCCCTGCTCACCAAATACACACAAAACTGTGTAAAGGTGTGCAATTTTAGAGGAGATGTATAGACAAAATTAATGCTGTGATTTGTGCAAGCACTCAAAGATGCTCTTCATTGCTGCCTATTGCGAGTCCTTTGCAGTATATATTGATGATATGATAGGAAAATAAAGTTCCATCCTCTAAACTTTACCAAATCACTCTAAATGAGTTTTGCAACAGGTAGGTCTTAGTCTTTTGTATGGTATATACATTTTTAAATGGGAAATTTTTACAAGGGCGTTACCATGGAAGGGAGGAAATGTGGAACCACTAATGGAGGTAAGGTTCTAGTGCTGTAAAAGCGTCAGTTCCAGAAACTTTATGGGGTGAACTTGCCAAAGAGGTGGCCAGAGCAGGCAGTGCCTGTGTGATAGATGGAGCTATGCTGACTCGCTTCCAGTGCTTCCATCATAACTTGCATTGAGTGCCAGGGTCAGCCAAGCTGTGCAGCTGCAAATGATTTGGGCAGGATCTTGCCAGGAGCTGCTGAGCTGCCTGTAACACATCCGAGGATGGGAACACTCTGCACGTGCAAAACTCACAGCATGCAGCCCTCAGATTTGGGAAGCAAAGAAGAGGCCAGGCTGCCTTGAGTTGCAATAACAGATTGAAACTCAGCCCCTGGCCTTACCCGAGGTTGAGCCTCTGTGAAGGATCAAATGCCGTCAAGGACAGCAGCACATCCCCACCTTCCACCTGGCCTGTAGGAGGTTTCTACATTTTATATATATATATATATAAAATGATGATAATTTCACGTTTCTTTCACCTGATTCTTAAAGTTGACTGTGGGGAAATGTAGCCAGAAACGGTGGGAATTGGGAAACTTCAAAGTCTAGTAAGCTACAGCAGGGTCTGTTTAAGCATTTATATTTTAGGAGCTTAACCATAGCACACCAGAGATCCTGCTGGTATTTGAAGCCTGACAGAATGTTTTCTTGATGGTCTTGGAGGAGACTTGCAAGAGTAGAGCTGGGATATTCCCAGTGTTAACCAAGCTGTAAAGCTGGCAGTAGTCAGTGTATGGAAAATTGAGGCATGAATCATATATTTGTCTGATAGTTTTTTTTCTTAAACTTTTTAATTGCTTCTTTCAGATACCCATAAAAATGGAAGTGCCAGTTAAGGGAAGGAGTTATAGCATTTGTAATATCTTAAACAGTGGAAAACATTGTGTTCCAGGTAAAAAAATGAGGTGAATGTGGACTTGTGAGGTTAGATGGCCTTATAAATCATGCTCACAGTAACATATGGTTTATAAACTATTTAGATTAATACTGAATTTGATTGGCTGCATTAAGGTATATTTTTAGTTTACATTTTTGTTATGCTGCTAAACATGGATATCACTCTTTTTTCAGTAGAAGAGAAACTTTACAAAACACTGTCTTGCTTCATCATGCTGTGCAGTGTGCTTTCTAGCTAAGTTACTACCCTTTGCCAGGCCATCAACTGCACATCTACACTATAAAAGATGTATTTCATTCATGTTTAAAAAGCAAGAAAACATATCGGCCCTCTATGTCACCAATGTGCTGTCCAGTGACCCATCAGACAGGGATAGCAGGGGGATGCTTCTGGGAGAGGGCCATTGGCCCCTTGAGCCCTTCTTCTTGGGAGCTGTACATGTGCTGCTCTGGCTGGCCAGCTGCAGCACTGGGCACGCATACAACAGCATTTGGGCTCTCTGAGCAGTTTAAGATAATACCAAACTAAAATATTACTTTGTTTTACCAGTTTCTAATTTTTCAAAGCAGGTATGGCAAAATGGCTCAGTCTTCCTGAAGATGGGTCTGGTTTCAGAGAAACGGTGCCACACAATGACTTGGGAAAGTAAGAGTGGACATCTCAACCATGTCCTAAATGCTCTCTTGCAACAGTATTTTGAACAGAAAATTAGGTATTACTGCTTTCTGGAAAAGCCCTGAACTGCAATTACAGCACAGGATCAGTGTGTTAGCATATCACAGTGCATAATGCTGCTGAAAAATGAGTGTCCTCAACTCCTGATGTCTCTCATCAGGAGTGGGGTGTACAACCCTGGCTGTGGGACTCAAACAGGTACACAGACCAGCACTCCAGATTTGTCTGTGTGTATGCCAACCTCTGCTCCTTAAAAACAGTGAAGCTCTTGGAAGCTGAGGACAAATACAAACGTAGCACCAAGTCTTTTCCTTTACATGCTTCTTAAAGCTTCAGTCTATTTCTGTAACACTAATCTTATTGTCCAGGAGAAAGGCCAATGGAAAGTACTGGGGGGGGGGGAGCCTATAGCCCAAACTTTGCCATGGCAGTCAGTGAGAATTTCGCTATTGCCTGCAGTGAAATCTGATGTCAGACATTTAATGACACAAGCTCTCACCCTGGAGATCATGCTTCTCTTGGTAGAGGCTTTCTTGAGAATGTTCTGTCCTTTTTCTGCTTATATGATTTCTATGAGCATCACTGGTGGCTAGATGTACAGAGGACAGTAACATATGCAATAAACATCCAGAGATGGAAGGTGAGGTTTTTTCCATTTCAGTTACGTTGTATGTTGCAAGAACTATGCTGATCTTTTCCAAGTCCCCAGTGAGTAGTTGTTCTCACTGCATCTCACTTAAATCTGTGTTTGCATTTTCTGAAATGCTAGTCCTTGTTTCTTCCTTTTATAGAGAAGGCTTGGATGATACAAAAGAATGTATGAAAGCTGGTCCTGAGACTTTATAGCCAAGTCTCATAAAGCCAAGAGAGGGCAATATGCTTTTGCATGGGGATTCAAACCATTTGTTAGTTATTTGAAGAATACCTTATTGAACCCTTGGTGTCTTTCACTAGCTGAAAAATCATATTCAAAAGAAAGAATAAGATGTTGAGCTCTTTTTGGTTTGTAGTACAAATTACACACATCCATTTTCTTGTATTTTTACAATGTTCTTTTTTTGATTTATAGACATACAGTCCTCCTGGTGTGTCTATGAGATGACTCACGTAAGCATCAGAACAGGAGATCAGCAAAGAACGCCACCATGCTGCTTAAAATAGCATTGTCTAAGTCTCTGTTCTTACCTCTACTTTAGACTGTCTTCTCTGAGGCAGAGAGGACGGATAGGTATTTGTACAAAAGAGCACAGAGGTGCCCTGCTATGAGTGGAAGCTATATGCTTCTGGACTGTGCACAGTTAAGTAATAGGAATCATGCATGGTATCTATGGGAGGGCACTATTTTCTAGATGAATGTTATGATTGCCACTCTCAGATCTTTTGTGTGAGTGAAGATGTTTACTCAAACCCTCAGTCTGATTCTAATTCTGTTCATTGCATTCTGCTTTCCTAGTCCCTTTTACAATTTCAGTGGTATGTAGTGTGTGTGGGCGTTCGGTTTTGGTGGTTGTGGTTTTTTTTTGCATTGGTCTTGGGTTTTTTTTAATTGCTTGAGGTTTGCTGAGGTCAAGCTGTTACATTCTCTGACTTCAATCCTGCAGGCTCTGCCTGACTGGCTGTTATGCTCCCCCAGTACTATTTTCCAGTCACAAAGCTGAAAACATGCAAACCACAAGAAGCCATTTCTGGATCTAAATTTAGCACTACTGTGGATTAACACTAAGCCTGGACCAATTAAATGTTTAGTCTTTCCTAAACAGAAAATAAAATATATCTCATTACAAATGGATCTTGTTTCACTTAACAGCAAAATCCTCTGAGTAATGTATAAATGAGACGGAACTCTCTGAGAACTCATCATTCCCAGCCTTCAGCCACCTTCTTTTACATAAACCCTCACATTGGTTTATAAAAGTTCTAAAAATAGAGCTGAGATTTATCAAAAAGTTCATAAACTGGGACTACATGTATACTTGCAGTGTTGCTGTTATGTAGATGCATACGTCTATCATAGTGACACTGTAAAAAGAATACAAATTCAGACATTGAGCAGCTGGTAGTGATTCTGTTT